AATATCAAAGAGACTGTGGAGTTTGATATCATTCATTTTATTCACTCTATTTATTATATCACCGATATCGAGAAAGCTCTGAAACACTGTTACGAGAAAGGGTTGGGCAATCGAGGTGCCATAGTTTTGATTGTGTGCGCAAAAGATGATACTTTTGAGCTTATAAGGAATCGCACGCTAGGAATTAGTCATTTGGGTAGTGATATCGTTGAAATTGTACGACAAAATGGCTGGCGTCACGAGGTTTATCTCAAAGAATCTTCCACCGATGTAACCCAGGTATTCGAAGAAGAATCGATCGAAGGAAACTTGCTGCTTGATTTCTTTGCACATTCACAAGATTTTCGCTTGAAGGATGATCCTGAAAAAGTGAAAATAATCCTTGAGTGCATCAAAGAAATGTCGACCTTTGAGAATGGAAAGTTTTTGGCAATGATTTGTGATGAAGTACATATCATTTTCAAGTAATTTCATATCCAATTAATGTACTAGTCTCAGCGTTCAATTGTTTTCAGTTGTTTTTGTGTTTATACTGTGTTTTGTTGGCGTCCATTCGGCATATGTACGTGTGTCGTTGGTACCAAACGATACTCAAATTTAGTTATAAAAATACATAGAATTACAGGAAAATAGTTCAATACTCTAAAGATACATTAAAGAATGGAAGTAAATCAAAGAAACGATGTATTTCGTTTATGTTGACGTTCTCGTTTCATGCTGAAAGTACACGGTTATCAACGAGGGAGTGGGGGGAGGGGGAAACGGAAGGGGAGAATGTACCTGATTTTTGCGCGAAGTGGCTCTTGAGAATTATCGCTGTAAGGCTTTTTTCCGATACCTTTTCAAAGACAAAACATTCAGTACTAAAAAGTGATATATGTTTTCAAATGTTAATATTTGCCTATTGACTATTCTCAAATTTCATTGAAAACTGGCCTAGGATATATGAGTAATTTGATTGTTCTTCATAGCAATCGCGCGGCTTTAGAAGCTGATGTAAGCGTTATTAGAGATTCAATTATGCACGAGACAAAGACGACTATCGAAAAATAAAACCTTTCAGTGGGCATTAATAGAGACTTAGACAATGGAATGGCTTTTAATAGGTAAATCAATGTATAGATATATAAAGCGAGTGGTCGATCAATTCCCTCGATTAGCTTCGATTATTTGTATTAGACTATAGTATTATAGTCTTTCTCCCGGAATAACCTCCTTTCTAGCACTACAGGTTTCCTTCATTTCTATTTTTTATTTATGTATGCTCACAAGAAACGCTTGATATGTCTATGCAAAAGTAGACAATCATGGATCGCTTACGTGGGCTTCCAGTACTGTGTGCCAGTGCCTGTGGTTGACCAGTACAACTTTTAAGAGGTATAAATTACGGAATTCCCAGAACAAATTACTTAAAAATAATATGAGTTTCAGCGGACATCTTCGCCAAGAGCTTCCCATTTTTAAAAGCAGACATGTCCTTGATTAAATCTAAGGTTCTCTTGACTTTCTCAGGGTGAGCRTTAAAGCGAAAACCTTTCAAATGAACAAGAAAGTCAAGCAGCAGGTTYCCTTCCATTGATTCTTCGTCGAATATTTCAGTCACATCAAGAGAATATTCCTGCGGATAAATTTCGTGATGCCAGCCATTCTTCCGTGCAGTTTCGACGACCTCCTTACGTACGAGATGAATACCAGACATACGTTGTTTTACAACTTCAAAGGKRTCATCTTTKCCGCMCACWATCAAAACTATGGCACCTCGATTGCCCAGTCCTTTCTCRTAGCAGTGCTTGAGAGCTTTCTCTACATCAGTGATATGATAAATGGAGTGAATAAAATGAATGATATCAAACTCCACARTCTCTTTGATATTTGYCACGTACTCTTCAAATGTTYTAGGCYGGTCGATATCGAACACTACTGATGCATTGCTTAATTCCTTTGGTAGGCGTGTGGCTACTGTATTCTTGAACTGGTTCAAGGCGTGCACTTGTGGTTCTACAGCTCGATTGAACATTGTGACTGCATGACCTGGACGATGTCTTTGCATCTCTTCATTGACAATCTTCAGTATTTCTATATCCATTTCTCCGTCTCCACTACCAATACTTAAAATGTTGATACCATCGTGGGAATTTGGCTCATCAAGGATGTATTTCAACGTTGATGGAAGATGGGATCGCAGTGATTTGATGATCTCAGTAACTTCTCCTGATTTCTGACGAAATTGATTAAGAGATTTCATGAAATGTTCTTCAGTTCCTTTCCACTGAAAAGACTCAGGAGCATCCATTTGAAAACCACTAATATCACAGTAATGCGCCGATAAACTGTGAAGTATGAAATAAACATCGATTCATGGACGGATTACAAGTCACCGAGAAATATAATAAGTTCACACAGAGCAAGATGCCGTCACAGATTACAATGGAAATAAGGTCAAATGTCAAATGGAGTTTGTCTTGTGCATGATGTTCTTCGAGATAAGATACCGACAAGAAAAGATAAGATGACTGTTAATAAGATACCGATGGATCGAAAAAGATTTGAACTTTAAGAGGATCAAAACGAAATATAATAAGTTCACAGAGAGCAAGATGTCGTGACAGATTAGAATGGAAATAAGGTCAAATGGAGTTTGTCTTGTGCATGACGTTCTTTGAGATAAGATACCGACAAGAAAAGATAAGATGACTAGCAATAAGATAGAACTAGAACTAGCGCTAGAACTGAAATTATGACCTAAAAGATCGAAAAATTGCTTAATTTATACAACATAAGATAGTCGATAATAAATTGTAAAGTTTTACTTATCTGAAATATACACTGAAATGTCGTCTTAGACACTATAAAAGACTTGATTTTACGAAATTCATCCAAATGATGATGTTTACTCAAACTCTCAAACAGTTGTTGCATTTATTACCGCTGTCCTTGTTGTGCCAGCCACTGCTGTCTCGCCAGGATGGTTATTCATTAACGAAAAATCAATTTGCCCTGGCCGAAAACACCAATAGTCTGTACAGCGCCGGTTACTCGAACCTTGGACCTCTCGCATGAAATCCCATAGACCTACCAACCGTCCAACCAAGCTATTTGTGAATTGGTTGGATATTATGGTTTGATTCTCATTCATTAATCATTATCAGCATTTGCGTTAGTAACAAATACTCACGCATAAATGGACAGTCAACTAACAACGATTACTGCAGTAAGCTACTTTTTTATTGAACAACTTCTCATGTAATAGAAGTTGATTTTACAATTGGTAACATCGAACACTCTTTCTCATCAGTTCTCTCTAATACATGGTGTACTGACTCAATTCGTTCAGCTGAAGCCAGTCTTATATACGAAAATTTCACAATGAATTCTTATTGAATTAAATCATGCAAATTCCCTTGTTTTCTAAACATAAGCTTACTTCTTGTTGCTAATGAATCATTCATTAGCCAGATCAAAAACTCGTGCGACCTCGTGCTTTCCTGATGAAACACTCGCACTCGTCTTTGATCTATTACATCAGAACGTTACATGGACACATTTGATGACATACCTGTTCATGTTTCTTAAGCCTAGATAAGGCGAAAATTAGGATATTTTAATACTGTTAAATTTCCAGATATCTGATACATTTGATATTGAAACGATTTCTTAACTTTTGCCCCTGTTGCCAGTCCGTATCAAGGAATTGTCATCGTTCGTGCGTGATCGCTGTGCTATAAGGTTTAGGGCTCATTTACTTAGTTCATGTCTTACGTTGGCGGAAAAACAAGGTGGCTTTATATGAATCTATAAAACCATAGAAACTGAGAGGATCAACTTGTTGTTTCAAACCGCCAAACTAACTTGATGCCTTCAAATCGCAGTTCAGATTAATTTAAACAATTAAAAAGAACCAACTGAAACAAAACAACAACAACAACAACAACAACAACAAAACAACAACAAATAACAACAACAACAGCAACAACAACAAACAACAACAACAAACAAAAACAACAACAACAACAAACAACAACAACAAAACAAGTGTAATGCATGCATGAAATTAACATCAACTGCTGCTTCAACTCCTAGCTTGACGGAACACTAGTAACCGAGAAATATAATTAGTACACAGAGACTCTGTCACATGGTATGAACGAGTGTCTGTAAAATACGGAACACCACCGGAAAAAACAGCTTTTCGGGGTTGAGGTTAAGGTTCGTTAACTTCACCATTGAATAGAACTGAAAAAGCAATTGTTTAAAAGTTCGTGGTGGGAAATCAGTAACAACGGACGGATTACCAATATCATTTTGTACTGTTGTTCTGTGAAAATCTTTTCAATGACACTACAATAAATTAAAGTACTTGATACTCTTAGAACACTGCGTATCCATTCTTTTCATGTCGCATTCCAATTCATGCATGAATTGTTTGTTGCAATGTTTCTATTACTTCTGATTGAAAACATTAGAGCATGCAAAAAACAAGAATTCAAATTCGCTCAAGTTCAACTGCCTGCCTCAACTTCAACTTATCTGCCCTCGGCTTCTGGGACATTTAATCCCTAACCTCCCTCAGAGCCATGCTATATAATATAATAATGCGCCGCTAAACTCGTGGCCTGCGTAGCGGCTCTTGGAGGACTGGGGAGAGGACAAAAGGGGATGTCCTCCCCCCCCCAAGAGCCGCTACGCAGGCTACGCTAAAAAAAATAAGATTGCTTTTTATGAATCTCATCGGACCAACTTGCTATTCCAACCCAAACTAATCATTTATAAACGTGTGATGCCTTGAAATAGATTCGAACCAACTGCAACAACAACAACAACAGCGACAGCAACAACAGCGAATATTGCGGTAGATAATTCACAATGAAGGATGATTTTTTGCAAAACTGACTATTAAATTACTTAAAAATGATATGTACATCGTCATGTTTCTTTGCCAAAACCTTTCCATCCTCAAAGGTCGACTTTTCTTTGAAGCACTCCAGTGTTATTTTAACTTTTTCAGGATCACCATTCAAGCGAAAATCTTGTGAATGTGCAAAGAAATCAAGCAACAGGTTTCCTTCGATCGATTCTTCTTCGAATACCTGGGTTACATCGGTGTAAAATTCTTGGCGATAAACCTCGTGACGCCAGCCATTTTGTCGGACAATTTTAACGATCTCACTATCCAAATAACTAATTCCTAGCGTGCGTTGTATAAGCTTAAAAGTATCATCTTTTCCGTTCACAATCAAAACTATGGCACCGTGATTGCCCAGTCCTTTCTCGTAACAGTATTTCAGGACTTTCTCTACATCAGTGATACCATAAATGGAGTGAATAAAATGAATGATATCAAACTCCACAGTCTCTTTGATATTTGCCACGTACTCTTCAAATGTTTTAGGCCGGTCGATATCGAACACTACTGATGCATTGCTTAATTCCTTTGGTAGGCGTGTGGCTACTGTATTCTTGTACTGGTGCAAGGCGTGCACTTGTGGTTCTACAGCTCGGTTGAACATTTTGACTGCGTGACCTGGACGATGTCTTTGCATCTCTTCATTGACAATCTTCAGTATCGAAAAAGATTTGAACTTAGAATCAAAACGAAATATAATAAGTTCACAGAGAACAAGATGTCGTGACAGATTAAAATGGAAATATGGTCAAATGGAGTTTGTCTTGTGCATGATGCTCTTTGTAGTCCAAGAAAATGGTGCAGATTTTGTAAAGAAAAATTATAAGTGTGATTAGTGACAGTATGTGAAAGAGTTTGCAGTTAAAAGTCACGCCCTTAGTATAGTACTTACAGTATTATA